CGGGTTTACTCTCCGGAGCTTTGGTTTCCTGCAAGCTCTCCCTTCAGCTTTGGAGGACGAGAGTGAAATGGCGGCCTCCCAATCTCCGCCCTGGAGGAGCCGAGAACTCGGAGCCCCGCTCCTCAGTGAGCCCCCAGAGAAAAGCAGTCAATCACTCCCGTCTCCCCGGTCTCCGGCCACACTCCGTGCTCACCCGGCCTGTGACCGAGCGTTTCTATCTCTGGCACCCAACCCCGTGTGGAGTCTCCAAACCCAGCAGATCCCTGCGGTGCGCTCCCGTGCCTCTCCTCCTGGGGGTAGGGTGTGGGGTCTCGCTGAGGCTCTGCCGCTTGCTGGACCCCTGCCTGGAGAGCAGTAACCCGACAGTGCTGCGGTTAGAGGTATACGGCAACCCCGAGCTGAGAGCCCACTCCCAGGCTCCCTGATAGCAGCCGGCTTCCCCACTCCGATGCCTGGGAGCTCTGCCACACTCAGGCACCCCGGTTTTCTGTGACCCTGGGGATCCTGACACCACACTGTCCCCCTAGGATTCCACCCCACTTTGCCACCTGAGCATCTTTCAGGCAGGGACGTCCCTCACCTGTGCAGACTTCTAAAAGTTCTGATTTTTTACTCCACTGCTGTACCACTTGCCGGTAGCTGGCTGACAGAGACTCCCTTTCCCTGCGGTCTTTCTTCCCATATATCACCTAAGATTCCCTTCTCTGCACCTCCTACCTTGCAGAAAATGGTCGCTTTTCTATTTGTAGAGTTGCAGCTCTTCTTAGTGCTCTGGTTGAGTTCACAGGTGTTCAGAATGATTTGATAGCTATCTAGCTGAATTCCTGGGACCACACGAAACTAAGGTCTCCTACTCCTCTGCCATCTTGGACTATCTCCCCCTGAAGATTTTTTATTATGGATTCAATCTCCCTACTAGTTTTAGGTCTAATCAGGTTTTCTATTCTTTCTGGTTTGGTGCTGCATTTCCAGGAATTTGTCCATGTCATCTAGGTGATCCAATATGTATGTGTACATTTGTCCATGGTACTCTCATAATCCTTTTTATTCTTGTAGTTTGGTAGTAATGTTCCCACTTTCTGATTTTAGTAATTTGAAGTCTCCCTTTTTTTCTTAGTCCATCTAGCTAAAGGTTTGTCAATTTTGTTGATCTTTTGGTTTTATTAATTTTCTCTATTATTTTTCTATTCTCTATTTCATTGGTCTCTGTTCTAATGTTTATGATTTCCTTCCTTCTGCTAGCTTTGGGTTTAGTTTGTTCCCCTTTGCCTGGTTCCTTCCATTGTAAAGTTAGGTTGCTGACTTGAGATTTTTCATGTTTTTTAACATAAGTATTTATAGCTATAAATTTTTCGTTTAGCACTGCTTTTGCTGTGCCCTATAATTTTTGGTACTTTATGTTTTTGTTTTCATTTGCCTTAAGTATTTTCTAATTTCCCTGTGATTTCTTCTTTGATCCATTGGTTGTGTGTGTTCTTTAATTTCTAGAAATCTGTAAATTTTCATTTGTCCTTCTGTTATCAATTTCTACTTTCATCCCTTTGTGGTCAGAGAAGATACTTTATATAATATCTTTTTAAATATATTGATATATTAGTTTGTAGCCTAACATATAAATCTACCTTGGAAAATATCCCATGTCACTTGAGAAGAACGTGCATGCTTTTATTGGTTAGAGTGTTCTGTGTATGTCTGTTAGATCCAGTTGGTTTGTTTTGTGGTTCAAGTCTTCTGTTTACTTGGTTATCTTCTGTCTGGTTGTTCTATCCATTATTGAGAGTGGGGTAGTGAAGTTTCCAGCTATTATTGTAGAACCGTCTATTTCTCCCCTCAATTCTGTCCCTTTTGCTTCACCTATTTTGGTAGTCTGTTATTAGGTGTGTAAATGTTATATCTTCTCACTCTATTGAAGCTTTTATTAATATACAATATCCTTCTCTGTCTCTGTCTCTTGTAAACTATCTTGCCTGATGTTAGGATAGCCAACCCTGCTCTCTTTTGGTTACTATTTGCACAGATATCCTTTTCCACTGTTTTCCTTTTAATCTATTTGTGTTTGCATCTTAACTGAGTCTTTTGTAGACATTTTATAGTTGGGTCATTTTTTTTTTAATCGATTCTGCCAATCTCTTGCCAATCTTTTGATTGGAGAGTTTAATCCATTTACATTTAAAATAATAACTGAGGGGCGCCTGGGTGGCTCAGTCGGTTGAGCATCCGACTCTTGATTTCAGCTCAGGTCATGATCTCAGGGTCATGCGATTGGGCCCTGCCTCAAGCTCCATGCTCAGCATGGAGGTCTGTTTGAGATTCTCTCTCTCCCCCTCCCTCTCCCTCTCCCCCTGCTCATGCTCTCTAGCTCTAAAATAAATAAAAATAAATAAATAAAATCTATCAAAATAATAACATAATCACTGGTAAGAGCAAATTTACCTCAGGCATCTTGCTATGTATTTTTCTACATACCTTACACCTTTTTTGTCTCCCATGTACAGCACTACTCTCTTCTTTTGTGTTTACTTGATTTTTTATAGTGAACATTTAAATTCCTTTTTCATGTCCTTTTGTGTATATACTATAGCTATATTCCTGTGGTTACCATGGGGATTACGTTTAACATCATAAAGTTTTAACACTCTATTTTGAATTTATACCAGTGTAACTTCAATAAGGTACAAAAATTCTTCTTCTTTAAAACTCTGTCTTTATCCTTTCCAGTTGTTGGTGCCACAGAATTATGTATTTATACATTGTGTGCCCCAAAACATAAACTAATAACTTCTTTAATGTGTTAGTCTCTAAAATTATGTAGAAAATAAAATGTGGCGTTACAAACCGTATTTCTTCAAATATTCTCTCTGCCCCTTTCTCTCTCTTCTCCTTCTGGGACTTCCACAATGCATATGTTGTTCAACTTGATTGTATCCCTCATGTCCCTTAGGCTCTATTCCATTGCCTTCATTCTTTTTTCTTTCTGTCCTTTAGACTCAACAATTTTTTCTTCAAGTTTATTGATTCTTTCTTCTGCCTGCCCAAATCTGCCTTTGAATCCATCAAGTGGATTTTTGTCATTTGTTATTGTACTTTCCAGGTCTTTTTGGTTTTCTTTAAGTTTTCTATCTCTTTATTGATATTTCCATTTTGTTTGTACATCATTTCTTGCTTTCTCCACATTTGCCTTTAGTTCTTTGAGCATCTTTAAGGCAGTTGTTTTAAATTCTTTGTCTGTTAAATCCACCATCAGGTTTTTTCAGGGAAAGTTTGTTAGTTTATTTTCTCCCTTGAATGGACCACACTTTCTTGTGTATGTTTTGTGTATCCTTTGTATGCCTTGTGATTTTTTGGGTTAAAAACTGGACATTTGAATGTAATAATGTGGTAACTCTGAAAATCAGATTCTTCTGCTTCCTCAGGGTTAGCTGTTGTTTTGGGTTTGTTTTTGTTTTTAATTGTTGCAGGCTGTCTCTGGGCCAAGGACCAGCCTGAGGTGTAAACTTGGGTTTTTCTGAGCCTATGCCTTTCCCTGGGCATGCCTGATGACTTTCTAATTCCACCTGTATGTGCCATTGTCTTTAGTGGTGTTTTTTTTTTTTTTTCATTTTTTTTAAAGATTTTATTTATTTATTTGAGAGAGAGAGCATGAGAGGGCACAAGCAGGGGGAGTGGCAGATGGAGAGGGAGAAGCAGGCTCCCCACTGAGCAGGGAGCCCAATGCAGGCTTGATCCCAGTACCCCAGGATCATGACCTGAGCTGAAGGCAGACACTTAACCGACTGAGCCACCCAGGCGCCCCTGCCATTGTTTTTGAATGGCCTAGTCTTCAAGGTCTGGATCCCAAAAGGGGAAAATGAAGGATGACAAAAGGCACCAGCCCTTTAAAGACCCTGAAAGTCACCTCAGCCAGATGGGAAGCAGTTTGCAAAAATGGGAGGGGGTGCAACAATGCCACCACCTCTTTCTCTGAACCTCTGTGTTCAAAAGCAGCAATCAGAGCAGGTCCCAAATATATGGAAGACAGGGTGCTTTTTGCCCACCCTGGCTCCACAATCTGTGTACAAGCTACTCCAGGAACACATATACTGCTGTCTGCCACAGGGCAGAGTGGTGGAAGATGGGTAGCTACTACTATGCTAAGAGCTGAAATTGACCAAAATTAACTGCAATTTACCACCCAAGCCTTTCCCTGAAAATTAGGAGCCTTCAGACTCCAGTTTCAAAATATTTATATAAGATTCTGCCAGTGCAATTTTGTCTAGGTGGGGAAACAGATTTCTGTTGTTTCCTACTCTGCCGTCTCCCCAGAATCCTCAAACCTTGTTTTAATGTTGAATAAGTTATCAAGCTTGGGTATCACTTTATAATTTAATCAAATTTTAACTCACAAGAAATAATCCTGCTAACTTCCTTGTCTTTAAATCCTTAATTAGCCACATCTACACACAGGCATCACTGTCTTTCGGTCTGGACGTAGGCCAGGTGTAAGATGCAGCTACCAGTTAAGGGGAATAGATAAGATGACCTGTTTTCTGAATCTAAAACTCAGACATAGGGCCTGACAAAAGATTTGAGAATGATTATATGAAAAATCTTATAAATACATAAAAATTAAATTCAATTACATTATAAATTTAATGCACTACCTTTACAAAAGAAAAATCTGATTAGGACCGTCCCCAGAAAACTAAGCCATGTAGTCCCCACATATATGTTCAAAGAAGAAGAAGGAGAAGGGAGGCATGGACCATTGAAGGAATCATTCCCAACTTTCATTCTTTGCATATTTTGACCATCATAACATTTCAATAAATGTCCTATAATAAAATCAGTACATTTTTCTTTACATTTAATGTAAATACAAACAGTGGTCACCTATCAACTTCATACAAGGACACACTTCACGGGTTTCATAATCAAATTTTAAAATAATCACATGTAAAAAAAAAAAATCACAGTCTAAAAAAAACACAAATAATAAAAAACACAAGTACAGCATAAAAAAATACAAAAATGTAATTTATTTGCCCTATTTACCAAATGGTTAACTATTAAAGTTACAATTTTTGCCTTGGAGTTAAAGGCAGTTTCACTTTTACCACAGTTACTTTTTCTGATCATATGCTAGTCAGTATCTTCTGTGTTTTATCTGTATTTAATTGATCATTTACATATTATATATTTGTCCACTTAAGAACCATATTTTCTGCATGATCACAGAAGCTCCATAATATAAAATGTCATTTTCTTCATATATTTGAGTAATACCGATCACGGTTTTGAAAGTCTCTATGAGCGTATCTTGCATAAGTCTTGTTATGTGGGATCCTTCCAAAAGGTTCATGGTCATTGAAACAAGATTCAAAAACTTCATCAACAGCCTTTTGGGCTACTTCTTTGCTGATATTCCTAACAGCCAGGATAGAAAGAATGGCTCTGTCTCGTACACAAGTCTAAGGAGAAAGAAAAGTATGTGGCTTTAACTTAAATAACAATTTAATCAATAAATAATGACATTTTATATAATGTCTGACCACAGCCAGAATTAATTCCCTTTCGAACCCTCTCACACTGTTGGTGGGAACGCAAGCTGGTGCAGCCACTCTGGAAAACAGTATGGAGGTTCCTCAAAAAGTTGAAAGTAGAGCTACCCTATGACCCAGCAATTGCACTATTGGGTATTTACCCCAATGATACAAATGTAGTGATCCGAAGGGGCACCTGCACCCCAATGTTTATAGCAGCAATGTCCACAATAGCCAAACTGTGGAAAGAGCCAAGATGTCCATCAACAGATGAATGGATAAAGAAGATGTGGTATTTACATACAATGGAATTTTACTCAGCCATCAAAAAAAATGAAATCTTGCCATTTGCAACTACATGGATGGAACTAGAGGGTATTATGCTAAGCAAAATAGGTCAATCAGAGAAAGACAATTACCCATGTGGAATTTAAGAAACAAAATAGACGATCATAGGGGAAGGGAGGGGAAAAAAAACAAGAAGAAATCAGAGAGGGAGACAAACCATAAGAGACTTTTTTTTAATATTTATTTATTTATTTATTTATTTGAAAGAGAAAGAGAGAGAGAGAAAGAGCAAGGGAGGGAAAATAAAACAAGAAGAAATCAGAGAGGGAGACAAACCATAAGAGACTTTTTTTTAATGTTTGTTTATTTATTTATTTATTTATTTGAAAGAGAAAGAGAGAGAGAGAAAGAGCACAAGCTGGGAAGTGGGGAAGAGGGAAAGGGAGGAGAAAACCCCCCGCTAAGAAGGAAGACCAATGCGGGGCTTAATCCCAGAACCCTGGGATCATGACCTGAGCCGAAGGCAGAGGCTTAACCAACTGAGCCACCCAGGCGCCCCACTATAAGAGATTCTTAATCATAGGAAACAAACTGAGGGTTGCTGGAGGGGAGATGGGTGGGGGATGTGGTAACTGAGTGATGGACATTAAGGAGGACATGGGATGTAATGAGCACTGGGTTTCATATAAGACTGATGAATTACTGAACTCTACCTCTGAAACTAATAATACATTATATGTTAATTAATTGAATTTAAATTTAAAATATTAATGGAAAAAAATAATTAATTCCCTTTCATATTATTTTATTCATTTCTGTCATTCTAAAGTAGAAACATAACTCCTAAATTATGGAATATGTTTAGCTCGATCTAAAATTATTTAGGTATAAATTAAGACCTCCTCCATTTTTTCATCTTTTCCAATAATATAACCAGATGTCATTCTCTGAAGTTTTAGGCAGTCCAACAAACAATAACTCCCAATTTGCAAAAATAAAAAATAAATAAAAAAAAATCTATAAATAAGGTTCTAGTTGGATTTTTAATAAAATTTAAATAGATTTAAAATATACTTTATTTCTATGTCTTCCTTTACTTTCAAGTTGACTAATACTAGATAATCTTTCCTTCAAGAGGGGCATCTCCCATGGAGGCAAATGGAAGCTACACATGCATATACATAAAATTTGAAGGTGTCTTAATTTTTCAGGAGAAAAAAAAAATCAAACAACCTTTTTTTTTTCCTGAGCGTTCTTTGCATGGGTATTAAATTCTCTACCTAAGAAAATAAATTATCTAATGTTACATAGTAATAGGCTAGAATTTCTCAGTATTCTAAATATGTTAAGAAACATAAGGTCCTGCCATTCCAATTCTTGGAGAGCTTTAAATCCATTTATTTCTCCACAAGCCCAAGCTAAAGTTCAAAAGAATGGCATCTAACCTTTTCATAAAAATAACCAAATACTGGTTCTTACAGCTATGCAATCTGTCAATCATTCATCTTCTGTGTGTGTTTCCTGTTTTACTTCACCCTGGTCAGCATGCCTGAGCTGGAGATGCTCACTAGTATTAGAATATAAACCAGTGGGGTGCCTGGGTGGCTCAGTGGGTTAGTATCTGCCTTCGGCTCAGGTCATGATCCCATGGTCCTGGGATCGAGCCCCGCATCGGGCTCCCTGCTCGGCGGGAAGCCTGCTTCTCCCTCTCCCACTCCCCCTGCTTGTGTTCCCACTCTCACTGTCTCTCTCTGTCAAATAAATAAATTTATTTATTTTTAGGGACACCTGGGTGGCTCAATGGTTAAGCATCTGCCTTCGGCTCGGGTCACGATCCCGGGCTCCTGGGATCGAGCCCCACATCGGGCTCCCTGCTTGGCGGGAGGCCTGCTTCTCCCTCTCCCACTCCCCCTGCTTGTGTTCCCTCTCTCGCTGTCTCTCTGTCAAATAAAAAAATAAAATCTTTAAAAAAAAAAAAAAAGAATATAAACCAGTGCTTCTCGACCTAAATTACACTAAACACTGATTTTAGAAATAAGCCCCAGGCATAAAGGAAGAAGAAAGAGAGGATGAACCATATGGAGCTATGCCGGCAATTGCCAGAAAGAGGACATTTCTCCCTTCCCGGGGAAGAAACGATGGTAAAAATTTGTCTCCTGGAGCTACAGGGTTGGGAGGCACATGTATAGACCACAGTTCAGGTTTACTTCTTTCCAAATGTACTTCATTCCTGTTAAAACTGGGTGATTTTACCATATTTTGCCATCAGTCACTGTCATCGATGTCGGTGTCTCTTGGGTACGTGCCGTACAAATGCAGGGACTCCATTCTCTAAGACTGTTCTCCCTCAGCCAGGCTCCCCCTACCTCCCCAAACTTTCCCTCCTGTCGCTAGTTCTGTTCACTTTCAGTGGCTGCTACCCAAGGGAAAAAGAGGAGAGACTTATCGTCATTGGGGCTGTGCTGGTTCAAAGCTTTGCTGTCACGTCACACGGCCTTTAAAGGCGCACTACAAGGCCATAACCTGTGCTGTGGGGCAGCCTCTGTTCCGAAAGGTATGACTTTTTTGTCTCAGGATCGGGAATACAAGTCCCGGACTACGGGGATAAAGTCAGACGGGCTGTGATTTTACATCCGGTCTTCATCTACCTGCTTCCAAAAGGATCCCAAGAACAAGAAAATAGAGTTCCTTTTCACAATTAGAATCTCTCACTGAGTCACACAGCTTGCCCGTAATTAAAAAGTAGAACTAAAATCCATCTATTTGGCTTCAACAGGATACATTCTGTATTTATTCCCATAGAAGTAGTTCTTTCACATTTCAAATACAAAATGTACTTCTCATTTCTTTATGCATTATTTCCACTCCTAGCACTCTGAAGGGTGAGGGATTTCATATGTTAGTTTTACCTGATGATGTTGTTTCAATCCAAAATGCAGCCTGAATATTTCATTTACAAGGGAGCAGTCTCCACTAAGGTTAGCAGCTCGAACCTATCACAAAGACAGAGGCAAAGAGAAGGAAAGTAAGTGCTCCTGCTCTATAAAAAGTTTTGTAAAAGAATTTAAAATTAGCATGTCTTTCTGAAAATAGAGTATCCATCAGACCTTTTTCAAGGATGTTTTAAACTCTGACATAGACTATTTTAAGTTATTCTTACATTAAGAAAAAGAGCAGATATCCATAAGCTGGGCTAGACAATGCAAAATAAACTGGGGGTTGGGGGGAGGGTGAATCATTTATCAAAGGGAACTTTCAAAACTTCACACCGTAACCTTATTGAAAGAACTAATTCCTTTTGAAACCAAAAGTCAGAAAGTTGGACCTCAGAGTTAAAGTCCATGTTCTCCACAAGATACAACATTTCTGGAAATTACCAAAAGGACTGCAAGATAGCATTCTTTCAAAGATCTACAAACTGAATTTCAATGTAAGCTTAAAATTAAACGCAACAACATCTAAGACACTTTGAGAATAGGAACCTCCTGCCCTTCGCCCAAAACACTGAAACTCTCTTGGAACCTCCCTTAAACCTGTGTAAATTGATGCCATCCTCCGGGGCCTCAACTGTCCTTTGAAAAATTAAGTTCTTGAAACTTAAGCAAGAACATTCCAAGCACAAGAACATTCCCAACTGGTCATGCTATGAGTATGACAGCCTGAAGTTAGGACATATTTTCTAATTCACTATATTTTTAAGGTAAAATGCAGCTTCAATAGATGAAAAAGTCTTTCTACCTTCTACTAGAACTACCCACATGGATGCTACAGCCAACCTGGCCACATTTTTGCTGATGTACTGCAAACAGAATGGCCCACTTCGTGTGTCTTCTACAATAACATGGCCTCCTTCCTCTGAGGAGTTCAAGGCACTTAACATACTTTAGCTAGCTAACAGGCATTAATTCTCATAACACCCAAAAGAGAGACCTATTTAAAAACTCACGTTTCAGTCTACTCTCCAAATAATATGAGTTATAATTAGATGCAGTGGGGCTGCTTATTAATTTCAAGGGAAAGAGAAAATAATCTAAGTTATAAAGTATACACTTAAACTTATATTAGTTTTTTTTACTTCTCAGCACACTGCACTCTTCAATTAATGAAATGCATGTATTAAATACATATGTGTAAGAGCATAAATATACTGCACTTCTGAGAGCAACCCAAAGTGCTTAACCATAAAAAACTTTTTATGTCGTATTTTTGAGACTAAATGTCTTACTCTAGGGCAAGCAAGGCGCTCCACCTATGGAAGGCAGCACAGCAGGGCCAGTTAAGAACCCTGGTTGCAATCCTGCCTCTGCCACTTACTAACCACGGATTTCAATCAATGCCTCCCTTTCGACACGTAGAACATGCAGATCACAGCATCTACCTGGATGGACTGTTGAGTAGACACAATAAGAATCCACAAAAGGAACAGTGTTGGCACATAGTCCTCAGCCAGGGTTAATTTGCATTAGTGTTTATATTATATAGTTTATTCCACAGGGAAAATGGTTATTTGGTTAAATGGTTAAAAATGGTTATTATATACCATATATATATATACACACACACACACATATATATGAAATATATCTATCATATACTAAAAATGGTTATTTGGTTAAAAATGGTTATTATAAAGTCATTACTATTACTACGATTTAAAGGTTATAATTAAGACAATTCTAAGAAGATACTTAAAATATCTCTGGCTGTGTCTCAAAGCTGTGTTCAGGAGTTAAAAATAGAAATCTAAGAGTAACATGGAACCATGACAGGAAGAAAAGGAGTATGTTTAAGTAAATTATACTTCAATTAGGTTTTCCTTTTTAAGATTTATTTATTTGAGGTAGGGGGTGAGGGGCAGAGGGAGAGAGAGTCTTAAGCATTACACTTCAATTAAATGTTCAAATTCAACTGATGAATCACAGACCTGTACCCCTGAAACAAATAATCCATTATATGTTAATAATAATATAAAAAATTAATCAAGAAAAATAAATAAATGCACATAAATAAATGTTCAAACTCAAGAGTGTTCCAGGGCGAGAAAGTATCTTTTACAATAAAACTCACTTCTGAGCAGGCCAAATGTCTGACGTCAGTGAACCAGTTGACGTGAGCACGACAGTGATCAAACGCATGAACGAGCTCGTGGGTGACGACTCTGTTCATATGGGCCTGATTACGGATGTTGTTCTGGCACAAAACAATCTAGGAGGCACCAAAATAGGCGAAGTTCCATTATGTCTAACATCTACTCTCCTTTTGTAACTCCCACCTTCTCTCTGGCGTGAGATGGCTCACCAGCTTGGAGAGCCTCCACCCACTCTCCTCCCTCAACCCTACACCTCCCCACCCGTCAAGGCCTGGTCCTAGAGTACATGCTCCATTAAGCGTTAACTTCTCCCTCTTCTGTCTGAACTGAAGCACTTAATTAAATACATCCTCGGTGGGCTTTTGGACTCCACAGCATCATACTAGGAGTGGGCTTTGGAATGAAGCAGATTCAAACTCCAGCCCCACTCCTTACTAACTCGGTGACCTTGGGCAAGTTTCTTAACCTCTCTGTGCCTCAGTTTCCTCAACTCTAAAAAGGAGACAATTAGAGTACCTACCTCATAGAATTGTAAGAATTAAATGAGAATACATGTAAACTGCTTCTTATCAAGTTTCTGAATGAGCAATGAATCAACAATGAATGACCACCACTGTCTCATTCTACTAGAACTGCGAGGGAAAAATCCTCAGAAAGACCTTCAGAAAGAAGTGCAAAAAGCCAACAGCACACTGAGCAGGACCCTATAAGAATAATAAACACGTAAGGGATCCTAATAACAACAGTTACCCTGTGCCAGACACTGGGATACGTGCCAGCTATTTTATATACATTCATCCAACATTCATCTTTCAACTAATATTTCTTGAGACCTACTAGTAGATTTATAATTATTTATAATTTATAATCTATAATTATAATTTCTAATGTATAATCTACGAATGGCGCTAGAAATTAATCGATTATTTACCAAAATCATTAAAGACATGCAATGACAGTTGTCATGAAGAAAAATCCAGGATGTCGTGAGTACATACAATGAGAATGCCTGACCTGGTCTCAAGGATTGGGAAAGGCATCTCTGCAGAAGGAATGTTTAAACTGGGATCTCATGGGTGAATAGGAATTAAATTTGAGAGGTGGGGAAGGGAGCATTCCAGACAGAGCAGCCTGTGCAAAGGGGAGCAGCGCTGACGGAACAGAATGTCTGAGAAGCTGAAAGCAGACCTGTACCCATGTAGTAGCACAGAGCTGTAGGTGACAGGCACGAGATAAGGCTGTGGAGGCCGGCTAGAGCCAAATCGCTCTTTATCCTGAGAACAGTGGGAAGTCACTGAAAGGGAGGACTGAAACGGGGCTGCTTTTATTTTTATCCTTTTGACTACAGTTGGAAAAATAAGCAGAAGATGACCAAAACTAGATACAGAGAGGCTAGCTGAAGGCTAAAGAGGTATTCTAGGCAAGAGATAATGGTACCTGAGCAGGGATGGTGGGATGCCCCCCCCAAAAAAAATATTTAGGAGGTAAACTGGGTAAAAATCAGTGACGGATATAGAATTATGGGAAGGGAATCAGAGGTACAAGGATGATCTCCACATTTCTGGCTTGGGTAATAGGATAGAGGATGGTACCATTCACTGAGATATGCAAAACTACAACACCAGGTTGGATGGGGATAGGGGATGGTATAAACCATCAATTTGGTCTTGGACAAATCTGTGAAGTCTCAGGTGCCTTTAAGATATCCAAGTGTAGGTGTGAAGTGGGCATTTGGATATACAAATGTGAAGTTCAAAAGAGAGCTCTGACCTAGGAAAATAAATGAGATCCCCTTAGCAGAGTATAGAGGAAGAAAAGAAGGGGATCTAACATCAAGGATTAAGAGACTTCAACATTTAGCACCTGACAGAGGAAGTTGAGCTAGCAAAGAAGCAACCCCAAGAGTGTCACGTACTGGGAACCAGGGGAAGAAAGTGTCTGGCATTACCCACTAGAGCCAAGTGCATGCATACTATATGACCCAGCAATTCTGCTTCTAGACAAATACCCAGGAGTAATTTTTGCACATGTGCACCAGGAGAAAGGGTGAAAAATATTCACAGCAACATTGTTCACAACAAAGTCAGAAACAATATTAAATACGGTAAACTGCAGTATAGACATACAGTGAAATACTATATAACAGTCCAACTACGTAAATGGGAGGTGTGTACAACATGGAAGAATCTCAACAAAATAACTGTTACAGAAGACCATATACTGTAGGATTTCATAAAACTACAAAGTATCACACAGAACTCAAAGTATTCCATGTATAAAACTTAAAAGCCAGGCAACTGAGTAACACATTGTTTGACTGTACATATACATGGTAAAACCATTCAGAAAAGCAGGAAATGATTATCACAAGAGTCAGAATAAGAAAGGGAGAGGAAATGTGATCCAAGAGGGACACAATCTTCTGAAGTCCTGGCAAGTTCTATTTCTCAAATCTGGGTGGCAGTTACACAGGTATTCATTTTATTACTATGACCAAAAGCATGCATACAGGTTTCTTACTCTTCTGTATGAATGAGACACTTCACAATACAAATTATAATTTATAAAAATAAAAGGAGAGAGTGCCCGACTATGCTCACTGCTGAGAAGTAAGATAAAAGTTCAAAATGTCCACTCTATTTAACCCCAAGGGGGTAATGAATTCACCAAGACCCATTTTGAGAGCTACAAGTATTGTTATTATCAGTTTACAAATGAGGAAACTGAGAATAAGGCAAATAACTTGCCCAAGCCCCACAGCTAATAAGCAGGGGAACTAGATTTGAACTCAACTCCACCGGACTCCAAAACCCAGACCTTTCACTCCTATGCTATGTTTCTTTTTCTCATGATTACTGTGAAATACCTATAAATAACCAAAATACATATAATATTCCCCAGGAGGAAACAACTAAGTATTATTAAACAGGGTTGTATGTTCAAGATGGAAGGTGTTGCTTATAAAAACTTCATCTACTCTCATCATACGACCTAATTCTTCTACCACCTCCAAGATGCTGTCAAAACCCTCCAACTGCTTAAAACTTTTATTGAATGCTTACTATGAAAAGTACCTTCCACGAGGTATCTCATTTGATTCTCATAACTATATTATAAGATAGATACAATCATTACCCATATTTTCCAGATGAGAAAACTTACTCCCCTAACCAAAAATGTTCAAAGGTATATCACTTCTCACCAGGTAAAGATGAAACTCTTCAGCTCAGCATTCAAAGCCTCCCACCATATGGCTTACCTTTCTTTCCAATCCTATTTCCTCATATTCCCCACACATTCCTGCCCCCCAGCTACACTAGACAACATGCCACTCCCCAAATATACCTCGTCCTTTCCCAACACACCACCTTTGCTCATGCTACCCCTTCTTTGGGCAACAGTCTTCGTCTTCTTTGCCAATGAAGAAGCTTTATATGCTCTAGCTTAATCTGTAGGTATCCTGCAATCACATGACAGTCCCATTGTGGTAACCACACCCACCTAAAATAGTTTAACCTGCTTCAAACTTTATCATTGTCTTATCTCCCCTGTGAAAGCATAAGCTCCTTAAGAGGAAGAACCATAACTAATTCCTTTTTTGAATCTTATACAAAGTCTACCCAACAGAATGGCCAGTATGCCAAGGTGCTTAGCAAATATCGGGAAAGAGAACCACCTGGACAAAAATGCCTACCTGAGATGTTGACGCATCAAAACCTCCACTGACACTGCCATTACAGTCTTCACAAGAAAAGTGTCTTTCTTTGTTAACAGCACTAAAAAGCAAGCATGCATTAAAGAAACAATATCCAAAAGCAGTGTGCACGCGGTGCAGGGGAAACAGCCCTGGGTAAGGAGTCAGGAGCCCCAGATCATAAATCTCCTCTCCCACTAACACATAAGAAACTTTGGGAAACTTTCACGACTAAGTTGTCTCATCTGTGATATAAGGAAATCGTCCCTGCAAAATCTATCCTAGTTCAAATTCCATGACATGATTCCATAAAGTATTTGGTCCACTGATTAAGAACATATTGGAAATATGCTGGAGTTGCTCCCCTTGGGCCAGAAGGTTAACAAGTGGACCCCAGATGTCACCTCCTCTAATCTCCTCCAGATTAAACAACACCTGGAAGGCTCCTACATAACAAGCTGAGATTTCTTCTCCATGAAGGACAATGCTGAGGCTGGTAGAGTGGAAAAGCCAGGTTTGGTAATTACTTACAAGACTTTACATGCGGTCTTTATCAAATACCAGAAGTGAATGGTAGAGCCAGAGATTTAGAGTTAGGGCAGAAGATGTATGCAGAGAAAAAGGTGGCTCAGTTGGTTAGGCAGCTGCCTTCGGCTCGGGTCATGATCCTGGAGTCCCTGGACCGAGTCCCGCATCGGGCTCCCTGCTCGACAGGGAGTCTGCTTCTCCCTTGACCCTCCCCCCCCTCATGTGTGCTCTCTCTCTCTCATTCTCTCTCTCATTCTCTCTCTCAAATAAATAAATAAAATCTTAAAAAAAAAAAAAAAGAAAGAATACAGCCCATCCCCACCACCTACCATATGGAAAAGGCTTTGTGGCCTGCAGTGAAAAATAGTTAGTTCCAGTATGGGGTTTTTATGTTTTTAGCAGCCAGAATACAGACCAGCATTTTAAAAAGATTTACTTACCAACCTGAGTGCTTCATGGCATCAAGTAGAAGTTTGACATACGGATCTAAAAAGATATTGATTCAATTAAGTATGTTAATTGGAAAAAATAGAACCAATTAAATTATCCAAAAAGCAGTATATTATCAAAAAGTAACTCACAAATCTTAATGAAGTATACTATCTTAAAATTGGTAAACATGGATATGAAAAGACAAGCTTAAATTAACATAAAAACAAGTCTTTAATGAAATAAAACACTGATACGAATACCAAGATGGGTACTATTGAACATCTTCAATAATGCCAAAAATGATTTTAAAGCCCATTTTCAGTTACAGGATCAAAAACATTGTATTAAAGCACATACCAAAAGAATGAGGGAATTTGGGGCCACATCCATAGAAAGGAACTACAGCACAGTATCCAGATTAGAAGAAGGTAGTTAAGGAGCCCCATTGGCATCTTTCCTGGTCAGACCACAGGCTAACAGGATCCCATTCTGAGTACCACACTCTAAGCAGGACCTGCCAAGTGAAGCTCTTCCACAGGGGAAGGCAACTAGAACAATACAGGACTTTGTATTGTAAGTCCTCTAAGAAGCAAGAAAGGCGTTGTGGCTTTGGAAAGGAGAATAAAAAACTAGGACCGCAATGGCTTCAGGTTTTGAAGGAGTGCCACGTGGGAATAGATTCCATCAATATTTCTTCAGAGGGCAGAAGAAGGACCAAAGAGTAGAAGGTACAGTACGAGAAAGGATTTTTCCAACAATTAAAGTTGTTAATAAAATAGACCAGTAGCCTCAAAGAACCTCAAAGAATCGGTAACCTGTTCCAGCAGAGGTCTAGAAACTCTCTGGTTGGTGATGGTGCAGAGGTTTTCCTATATGGGGGTGGAAAGGCCTAGAGGACTCCTGGGGGCCCTTCTAAGCATCATGAGCCTCTGATGATTACAGGAAAGTACAACAAACCCAAATGCCTCTAATACCAACTTTTCATATAGGTGTCTCATCTGAGTGTACAAATGGGCAGCATATTATATGACATAAGCAAAAAAGTAGAAAAAGAAAAGAAATCAAGGGGTTTTTTTTAAGTGTTGAAAGCAAAAATAGGTGAGTAAAAAAAAAGTAATGAGAGGTGAGAAACATAGGCATAGGTTAACTGCTTTATTAACCTGCCCCCTCTTAAGAGTGTTAACAGTAAAACAATTATTAGTGATAAGTATTTTTTGTGTGTGTGTATCAGGTGTCAGGAACCATATTAAGTGCATTATTATTCAAGCAACTAAGAGAGCTTTACAAAGTTGAAGTGGATTCCAAAATCGGTAGTCCTCTTACTAAAAAATAATGGTAACAATAGTAAGTGCAAGGAGCACAGTAGTTTGGTACTTCAAACAGGACCTGCAGTATTTAGAATGGATTTGCTTTAAAGACAAAGGGAACAAAGATCTCCGTTGAGGCCCAGTCCTAGGGATAGGATGGTAAAGCTAGAGGTTGATGCTTTAAAACCACTAACACTTCTCCAAGCAGCCCTCCAGGGGAGGGTTGAGGCCTGTTAATTCCTCCTGGGGCTCATGGCCGGCCCACCACGGTCTTCACATCCCACCTCCGTATCTCCTCCACTGTTTGGCTCCTCCACGGTAAGCAGATATCCATTACTCAGCTCCTGATACGCTCACACTTTACATTCATAAAACCTATTCCTCACAGCCCTAAGAGAGGTATTTTTACCCCTACCTTTCCCTTTTTGTGTGTGCAGATAAGGATAGAGGGGATCAAAGAGTTAAGTCTTCCACACCTGATAAGGAGAGGGACCAGAATTTGAACCCATGTCTAACTCTGCAGCCCACCGTCTTTCCACTGCGTTCCACTTCAGACCTCTAAAAGGCACAGTCCGGGTCCCTACGCATCCATATTTCCCCACACCAGAACCTAGGAGGCATTCGACACACATTTTCAAGCGAATACAACCTCCTCCTTCCCATTACCCCTCTTCTCCCCCCTCCCTTGATGCCCTACTATGCAGGTCATCTCAAGAAGGTTGGAAAATCTTTGGGTGGTTGACTTTTGAACTGTAATTGGCAGCTATGAGATAGTAACCTTGCTTTAGGACAAGTAGGTTTAAGACTTTTATTTTCTAAATATATCTGAAGTAAACTTAGAAAGTCCATGTCAATGTAAAGGAGTTAAGAAATCTCTAGTGCAATGTCCCTGGGACTAGAGAAACTGGTTGTCCCTATTTAACAGCAGTGGTTCTTAACCCTTTGGCGGTCGGGCCTTTTTGAGAATATGATGAAGTTAGGAACGCTCTCCCCAGAAAAATGCATTCAGGCGCATACACACGATTTCCTGGTCCGTTTCAGAGGTTTCTACACGAGGAAGCCCATCCATGTATGAAGGTTAAGAACTCTTCCCAATGAAGGGCAGTTGCAGAACTGCTTTTGAGCCGCCAGCAGTCATGCCTTAGTTAACGTGGCTCTTTTAAAAACAACTCTGACGGGGCGCCTGGGTGGCTCTGATGGTTAAGCGTCTGCCTTCGGCTCAGGTTATGATCCCAGTGTCCTGGGATCGAGTCCCGCATCGAGCTCCCTGCTCCTTGAGAGCCTGCTTCTCCCTCTGCTTCTCTCTCTCTCTCTCCCTCTGTCTCTCATGAATGAATAAATAAAATCTTAAAAAAAAAATAAAAATAAAAAAACTCTGACTCCAAAGTCCCCATACTGCTGCATAATTTACATGAGAAATCGGAGGACCTGTCAGACCAGTGAGTGGAACCGAAAAGGGCAAACTCCTATCCGACTCCTCCCTCATTCCACAAGCAAGAGTTTCCCTCCACTGAAAGGGAAACTGAGGCCCAACCCGCGCCCCCCCCTCCCCGCCACCACTCCCGCCCCAGGATGCCGAATCTACCTAGACCCTGCGCAGAGGTGCCTGAACCCTGCTCCTGCCACACCTGGGGCTGAACCCAGAAACCCCTGCCCTCCGGGTCTCAGACACCACCCGGCCGACCCCCGGCCTCCGGGTCACGGCTCCTACTTGTCTCCAGCGTCTTCAGGAGCATAAGCTGGCACTTCTGGTTGTTGGTGAAGAAGCTGGAAAGGAACCCTTGCCCGGGCTTTCGCTGGGCCAGCCGCTCGGGGAAGACCTGGAACGCGGCATGTTGCTGCTGCAGCTGTTCCCCCGCCGCGGGACCGGGCCCGCGCTCGTCCGCAGCTCCTGCCATGCCACCCGCGGACCTCGCCGCTGTTTCCTCCCGCCTCGGGCGGCCGGGGATGAGATCCGGGAAAGGCAACCGCCCTCCCGCCAACCGGCCTGCCCAGATCCTCCTTCCGCCGGTGGTCCCAGCCCCAGGGAGGGCGACTGCCGCAGAGCGTGGCTGAGAACGTTGGAGCCGCCGGGCCTCCGAGCCCAGCAAGGGACGCTGGGCGGGTCGAGAGGCGCGGGGAGGGGGCGGGGCGAGAGATGAGGGGCGGGGCGAGAGATGCGGGGCGGGGCGGGGCGAGAGGCGCGGGAAGGGCCGGGGGGCGGGGCTCTGGATCCCCTGCCCGCTGGCGGAATTAAACCTAGCCGCGGCACTCGCTGGCGTCTCCAGGGCTGCTGTGGGCTTCGCTGCTGACCTTTGCCGCGGTTGGCCGACCCTCATAAGCGTGGTTCCGCAGCCCGCCTCCTCGTGGACACTCCTTCCTCAGTACTGGCCACTAAAGTCCCCTCACGCTCTGAAGGTCTCAGGCATCCTCCCACTCCCTGCCTTTTCCACCAGCAGGCCAGTTGCAATCTGGCCCACCCATCTCCTGACGTCCAAAGCCACATCGAAAGCAGTACTTTTCAGTAACGTTTGAAAGCTGCAATTATAATTACTGGTCATATCAAAATCCTCAAAATGTGGGCCCCAACTAGTTTGGTTTTTTTTGCCTCACCTGGACCCAAAGGCCCACCCTATTCTCTTGCCACCCCAAATAACTTTCTGCTAACAAAACACAACCAGTTTACTTTTATCTCCAACCCTTAATTCACTTCCATCTTTAAGCACCTTTCCTCGGTCATGATCCAGGTCCTGATCAAATCTACCTATCCCACAGGGCTTTCCCAGATACCTTAATCAAAATTATTCTCTCCTGATCTCCCAACGTACAAAGTACTTTGCATATGTTATCATTTTCATCACAGCCTGCCAGGTTTTAACTAATTTGTATTTATCTTTTTCCACTAAATTTTTTTTTAAGATTTTATTTACTTATTTGAGAGAGAGCACAACCACGGGGAAGGGCAGAGGGAGAGGGAGAAGCAGACTCCCCGCTGAGTGGGGGCTGGATCCCAGGACCCTGGGATCTCAACCTAAGCCAAAGGCAAACGATCAACCAAATGAGCCACCCAGGCGCCCCTCTTTTTCCACTAAATTACTCAGTTCAGCTCACATATTTATTCAGCACCTACTATGATGGACCAAGTGACTGAGACTGGGGCAGAGACTGGGGATAAGAGAATTGATGAAGATGAAGAGGAACATGATTTATGTGAGAAATGTATAGAAATAATATAGTCTCAAGAGACCTTGAGGATTATGAACAGTGCTTTATGTGTCATGGGTGCTTAATAAGTATCTAGATTGAATGCAAATCAACACCACAATGAGATATCACCTCACACCTGATAGAATGGCTATTATCAAAAAGACAAGAAATAACAAGTGTTGGTGAGTATGTGGAGAATAGGGAACCCTTGTGCACTATTGATGGGAATGTAAATTGGTGAAGCAACTATGAAATACAGTATAGAGATTCTTTAAAAAAATTAAAAATCAAACTACCATATGATCCAGTAATTCCACTTCTGGGTATTTATCCAAAGAAAACAAAACACTAACTTGAAAAGATATATGCATCTCATGTTCACTGCAGCATTGTTTACAATAGCCAAGATATGGAAGCAACATAGGTGTCCATCGATGAATGAATGAAGAAACGGTGGTATAAATACACAATGGAATATTGTTCAGTCATTAAAAAAGAATGAAATCTTGCCATTTGCAGCAACATGGACTTTGTATTGATCAGGAAGTGGTAAAAGTACTAATTTGTAGTGGATATATTTAGTCAAGGATACATGTTGTAATCACAAGGATAACCATTAAGAGAAGAGCATTAAAGGGCAAAACTAATGCACTAATAGAGGGGGGAAATGAAAAATAAACAAATTGGATGGGATGCTAGGATTATTCATCATTTGAAATATTACAAAAATACGAACACCTCCTATGTACAGATTGCTAAAATTATAATAGTTTTCTTAAGCCGCTTTTTATTGAGCTCACCTTGGATACATTATTTCTAACCTCCACTACAATCCTACAAAATAAGTATATTATCACTATTTTGCTGATAAAAAAAAGTGGGTTTAGCAATATTGAATAATTTATCCAGGACTACACAGCTTTCAACCTATTTAGAGAACTAAAACATAAGCATATAGAAAACTACACTATTACAGTTATTGTAATGAGTCTGCAATATTCAGGAAAGGCTAGATAGAGAAGATGGAGCCTGACATTGACCATAGCCTGTTGGCACGTGAAATACTATTTGAAATATTATTCAGCTACATGAATAAGAAAATAAATGCAAATTAAAAGCTGTAATTTCCCCTACCAAATTAGCAAACATTTTTTCCATATTCATCACTGAAGGCAACAAAGAAAGAAAAGTAGGGAAAAAAATATGCCAAAATATGATCAGTAGTTGCCTAGGTATTGGGATATTTTTATTATATTCTGAATTTTCCTAGTGCTCACAATAAGCATGTATTACCTTTGTAATAAGAAAAGTAAACTTTAAAAAATTGTGTAAGTTTTGGATGCCATTTGTGTAACTTCATCCCTTTATAGTATAAAGACATAGGGTGGAATGGAAAGGTGTTAGGGGAGCAATAAGGAAGTGCAAATACAAAGGATTAAGTTGAAAAGAGAAAAGTAATTACCACAAAGAAATAAGAGTATGGGCAAAGATTTAGCTATCAGGATTTTCATTTCTCCATTGCAGCACTAATTAAGAGCAAAAAGGATAGAAAGTTTCAATGTCCAAGAGATACAATGGAATACATGAAACCATGTTGTTGTAGTATCTTTTTAAATCTAATCATAAAAAATAAGTTACAAAACGGCATAAACGTGATTCCCATTTTGAAATTTCATTTACTATAAGCATAGAAAGGGTCTAGAAGACTGCTCCAGTGTTCACAGTGGTTATTTCTATGTGGATGAGATTTGGGTGTTTTGTTTTCTTTTGTGCTTCTCTTCGTTTTCTAAAGGAAAAATAGTTGCTTTTTTATTGGAAGTTTTTTAAATATATCACAGCAACACATGAAGTTGCATATCATTTTAAAGTGCTTTCCATCTTTCAGCTTTTTAATAACGTTTAATCCATTTATCGAGGACCAACAAAAATTCGGTGAGCTTATAGCCTTACCTCAGCTTTCCAGTCATTTTGAATGTTGGGAAAAAAACAAAACGGTCCCCACAGCCCTGAGCGGAGACAGGCTACACCGCCAGCGGTCGCCAGCGACTGAGAGGAATCTACTTCCGGAAGGAGTCAGCCCTCCGAACCAGAAGCGAACGAGGAAAGGCGCGCAGCATTCTGGGAAAACCTACGGTAGCTGGGTTGGGCGGGGCTAGGGTTGCTGGCTGTTACCAGGGCAACTGGAAGCGATTGGCGGTCATCCGAGGTTTGAAGCCGTTAAGCAGTAGAGGCTGAGATGCTCAGAGGTCATTTGGGATGAGCGACAAGGGCATGAGGGCCTTTCTAAGAGAAGACTGTCCTATTAGGAGGTTTTCCAGTCGTGCCCCGCGGCGGGAACACCTGCCCTGGGGCCGTGGGTCGCGCCCACCTGCCCTTGCTCCTTGCTGTGAAAGTGTCGCCCAGTGGCTCCCGTCACTTCTCTAATTTTCTTCTGCCTTTTAGAAAACGTAGCATTACATTGCAATGTGTTCTAATAGAAAAGTAAATTTTTTTCAGTTGAGGAAAATTACAAAAAAAGGAAAAAGAAAACTCACCAGCCATCCCAACTACCTGGCAGGGACTTAAATTTTTCATTTTATTACCTATCACTTCTTTTCCCAGCACAAATATTTTTTACACTGAGTTTATTTGGGGAAAATCATCTCGTATCCGGCTTTATATCACATATATATATATGTTACAATTGTTGTTAAAATCTTAGCAACAAAGAAGGCATTGAAGACCTTAATGTAAATCCGCTTGTAGTGAATTGAAGAGACAGAGATGAATGGACACAGCGCATGAACACAATTCTTTCAAGAAGTTTGGCTGTAAAGGAAAAGAGAAAGGTCAGTAGCCAGAGAAGGGTGGCAAATAAAAAAAAAAAAAGTTGGGGTCTTTCCTGAAGGAGAGGACACTTAGTGTTGTTATTAGTACAAGAGGAAAAACTAGTAGTCAGAGGTTAAAGATACTGCCAAGAAAGAGAATAACAGATTGAATAATTCTCTAAAGAAATAGAGGAGATAAGATCCACACATCAAGTACATAAATTAGTTTGGGAGGTGGAACTGGGTAGGAGGATGTCAAGGTGGATTATGGATGTTAGTAATTTTAAAACTATTACAAGTTGGCAAGAGTAATAAAGATATATATGTGTATATATATATATATATGTGGCCAATAATAGGTATGCTCAGCCACATTAGTAGTAATATAAATGGAATATTAAATACCTATTAAATTTGCAAAGATTAGGGGCGCCTGGGTGGCTCAGTCGTTGGGTGTCTGCCTTCGGCTCAGGTCATGATCCCAGGGACCTGGGATCGAGCCCCACATTGGGCTCCCTGCTCAGCGGGAGGCCTGCTTCTCCCTCTCCCACTCCCCCTGCTTGTGTTCCCTCTCTGGCTGTCTCTCTCTCTCTGTCAAATGAATAAATGGAATCTTTAAAAAAAATTGCAAATGTTATAAAGCAGATAATATATGTGTTGGGCAAGGGTTCAGCTAAACACACTGCAGGTGGGAAAAGAAACTGGTACTTCTCTCCCCCCGCCCCAGGTACTTTGGAACTACATATCCTTAAAATGTGTATACACTTTGACTAAGGAAGTATACTTCTAGGAAGTTCTCAAAAGGAAATAGTCAAAACTGCACACATATATTAAGCTGGATGGAGTTCATTTCAGCTTGTCCACCAATGAAAGACTGGTGGAATATATTATACCCATACTTCTTAGACATGGATAACATGGCTGCAGATAAGAGAAGTTCACTTATATTAGTTTCAGTAAGAGCATCTTCAGGTTTTATAGGAAGGGAATGTGGAGTTGCAGTCTGATTAACTAGCCTGACACACAATCAGTGGGATGCTTTGAAC